CAACAGGATTTCTACAAGGATTTGAGCAGGATTTACGCTTAATCCTGCCAAACAGGATTTTAACGCCCCGTAAATCTCACGGTGGAATAAATCATCTGTTTCCCTGTTTTTTCTACAAATCCCGGATTTACTAAATCATGTAATTCAGTAGATTTTTGGGATTTAGGCGAAGAAGGGCGTGAAAGGGAGAAAGTTATCTTCACAGCGAGCGAGATCCCGTCGTTGCTTCCAATCAAAATGTTGTAACTTCCGATCCAACAGGAAGGGACCGTCGTCGAAGGAGTGCATCTGAACAACAACAGAGCCAAAGATGCGACTCATGCCTCTCTACACCTCCTGCAAAGCAACGAAGCCAAACAGCAACTACCAAAAAGCAAGCGCTAGACGCCTGTAACTTATTATTGATTAACATAATTAATAGTATAATAAGTGCATAAATTGATTATCTAATTTGTCTTAATAAAGTAGTTAGTGATATAATTTAGTAAGAAAATTTATTCGAATATTTCAGTTTTTCTCTCATTAATCAATAATTAAGTAGATCAAAATATTATGTTAGATTTTTCATTTCAATTCAGCCAATTACATGAAATCAATTAAAAAACAATTAGTCAAATGTTATGATAAAAAAAAAAACAGAACGCCTGAAACCAAAATTTTACGTTAAACCAAAGATCAAGAAAATAAAAGTTTACACAAAAAAAAAGATAAAAAGATAAACAGAGAGCTCAGAGCATATAGAAAGAGACCAAAAATCTGCCATCAGAGGAAGGCAGGTAAACCCATAGTGCAGGGATTCTCGGTTGCCAAGAACACTTGGAAGCTGTTTGGTAGCAGGATTTTGAGCTAAATGCCACTAAACGTAAAAATTGAACATCTTAAAGCAAATTGAATCCTCTATTTCCTTCCTTTTGCAAAAAATTTAAGATTTACTAAATCCTATAGTCCGGCAAATTTGCAGGACTTGGCCAAAGAAATCGTTGTTACTTCTAATTCTACAAGATGATTGTCTTCGTACTGTTGTTTTTTTTTTAACATCTAGGCTAATTAAGACAAAATTAACACATACATTACATAACTGAGCTTCAAATGTAAAACCTCTTAGTTCAGAAATTTTTGTACTACAAAAACTTCTTTAGAAAGCATTAAAAAAGCCGCCCCAAACGAAGCCTTAGTTAAATCCTGCTTGTTGCCAAACAGCCCCTTAAGGCCTAATTCTTGTATGTGAAAAACCATAACAAAAGAGAGGCCATCCAGGAGAACCCCTAAGGCCATATAACTCATCATAGCCCTCTTAAAAAAAAAAAAAAACAAAACAAATTTCTCAATAAGGAGGCAGCGACTGATCTGAAAAAGAGAACATTTCAGATGAACGCCTAACCAATTATGAGGAAGAATAGAAGTTCTGTGGCTCATGCTCTACTTTTTTTTTTTCCAAGCATATGAGATCGCATTATGCTTAAAATAGACGAGGTAGAAGAGATGTGATTGCTATATTTCCAGCCATTACGTTCCTTCCATAAATAATATACATATATTAGAAGGGGATGAGAAAATTTTCCTTTCATTCTTTCACAAAGGCTCAACTTATTTAATCCAAAACTTGAGTAAATGAAACCCATATGGCAGTGAAGTTGGTAGAAATAAGGAAGGCCAAGAAGGAAAGAACGCTCATAATCCATGCTCTCAAGAAATGCTTGATATAGTACAGGTTCTCAAAAAGTGCTACAATAAGGCACATATTGAAAACCTGGCACCCATGTAAACATTTATCCTTAGTTTCTTTAGATTGTTATGTTGTTCAAAATTCTCGAGCAACATCTCATACAAAAGTCGAGATCTATAATGTGCTTGAAATCTTCCCAAATATCCAAACGCTGCAAATTAATGCTAATTTCATTTTCAAATGAGTTAGAGCAGCAGTTTCTGCAAGTTAACTCATCTTTTTTTCGGGAAAATTATTAGGTGCGGAATCCGGACATAGCTCGCATCTGGGCTCCAATAAAATGAAGCCACATAATTTATACACACCTTGCATAAAACTTGTACACAGGGTGTGTATAAGTAGAATATACACACCCTTCATAAATCTAGCAAATTAGACCTCAAAGAAGTCAAATCATTGCAGTGCATTCCATATTCTTTGTCCTTCACTTCCATACAGTTCTTAAAAAGTATTCCGCTCCAAAAACAACCAGACCACCCTCCTACTTTGTAAATATTTTGGGAATAATATATAACAGAATCATAAAATAGCAATATGTCATTCTGTCCCAGTTCTTCACATCCAAAACCATTGTTTAAAACTTCCATACAATGCTTTTCATCAAAGCTTATATTCAAAACTGCACCGATGACCCTTACGGGCAATAGAGATCAAGAAATCTTTTTAACTCACTCCAATTTTGATTTTCTATGATGAATAATTAAAAGTAAGATAAATCCCAATTGAGGCCCCCCTCTTTCCCCTTGCCTGCCCACCGAGTTACAAAAATCTTACATCCCAAACTTCTATAAGCCAAAGAGAGGAGCACATTTTCCTATTTGATTTTGTCATACGTGCAAATGTAATGTGGGATAAGGAATTATTGGACATAACCTCATGCAAAGGACTCCCTTGAAGTGCATCAAGTAATTCCAAAACAGGCCTATTTTTTAAGGAGATTCCAACGCAACTGTAATGACTTTTTTCCCATAAAGTTTTTGGAAAACAAAATCTACATTTTACGATCAATTCCTGTCATTTCATCTTCATAGACATGTTGCAAGAGAGTTGTCTTCCCCATACGTGATTATAAAGATGAAATTAAGAAGGAATTTGATCTTAAAATGCGGGTTTGTGTTTCCAACATTTTTGATGTGAAAAGATAAGTTGGAATGTCTTGAGAAGGAGAGGCCTCGTTCGGAAAATAGCATAAATGAATATCAAGATTTGATGTGAAAAAAGTCATTGCAGAAATGGACGAAGTTGCTCTCCCCTCTGGCTCATGGGAATATTGGTAGTAAAATTTTGGTAACAACTCGAATGGACTCGGTTGCAATGTTGATTGAAAAGGTCCTTACAAAAAAGATGGAAATAGTTAGATTAGAGGGTTTGGAGGAAGATGAGTGTTTGCTGCTCCTTAAGTCTTATACATTTGCTGGTGTAGAGAATTCCCCTGAAAATTTAAGAGACATTGATGGAGAGATGGTTAAAAGCCTTTTAGGATCTCCATTGGCAGCGAAGGTCATTGGTGGTGTTCTAAGAGACAAATTGGATGAATCGCATTGGAGGAAAGTTCTAGAAAGCAATTTATTGGATGATAATTATATCCATTTCCATCTTAAGACTGAGCTATATATTTCTGCCAAATCCTCTACAAAATTTCTTGTTCTATAAAGCTTCTGATGAGGATAATGAGTTCAGTCCTGAATAATGAGTTCGTAGAGTATGAGCTGGGAATTCTCTGTAGTCCCCAAATCTTTCAGTCCTTTGAGATAGATGAGATCACCACTATTTCGAATTGTCAAGTTTCTTATTGCTGCAAGGCTTGAAATGATGTAACACTTGCTAGTGCCTTGTAGCAAGTTGAAAGTTTTCCACCCAGTGTTATCCATCTCTAATTTCCTGAGCTTAGGAGGCAAAGAGGGCAACTCTTGAAATTTTGGGCAGTCCTTCAGGTACAGTTCAATTAAGCAAGGAAACAAACGATCATCTGCTGCAGCTAATGTTGAGTCAAACCAATCCTCCAATGCTTCTAATCTCTCAATGTGTAAAACCTCTAGTGAATCAAAAACACAATCCGATTCATCCCTCTGAAATTTATTATAAAGCCGTTTCACTTTTGACATGTTTTCAAGGTACAAAGACTTAAGGGAAGCCACCAAAAAGGTGGAAGAGTTGCGACTCTAAGCAGCAATCCAATTGTATGCGCTCTAGATTGGAGATAAGATTGTCCTCGTTCATCCAAATTGGAGACCTGGCACCCATGTATGTGTTTACACAATTTCCTTAATTTGTTGTGTGGTCGAAGGTTGTCAAGTACCTTCTCATCTAAGTCAACATCTAGAATGTTTCTAATTTCACCCCGTTCTAAGGACAAATCTATGAGGTTTCTCTTGTCATATAATTTGGCACGACAAGCCTCCTTGGCATCCTTCATATTTTCAAGAAGTTTGATTCTTAATTGGCGAAGCTCATTCATAAGCTCCAGCTCTACAATACTAAAGTCATTCTCATTTTTAACATAAAATCCATCTAGCAGTTGAAGAGAGCTTAGTTTTATAATTCTATGCAGCAGCAACAGCAACAACAACAACATCAAGCCTTTGTCCCACTCCATGTGGTCGGCTTTCCAATTCTAAGCATTCCAAAAAAATCATCCCAGGACAATTGCATGTAATGCCATATTTGTAAGGTTATTCATGTCCCTCAGTAAGAAATTGTGAGGAATAAGCTGCACAAATTCATAGATTATGAACTGTAAATGATCTTGTCAGTAAAATTCAAAAAAATATTTAAGAATCGAAGATGCATCAAAATCCAATTGCCTCGGGTACCATTTTTAGGTACGGAGCATAAATGTACAGCAAGGATGCTTTTTGATACTTTGAAAACTTGAGCAAGTACATCATCAAAATCTTGATCATCTTCTTTATAATACAAACAAAGCGTCCGCAAATTTTAAAATTTCCCAATCTTTTTGAGCACTATGAAATTGCTAGTATCAACAGACAAGTGTCGAATCATTTCAGGAATTGTAAAAAGCAACTCCTCATCCCCAGCAACTCTAAAGCATTCTTGTAGAGAAACGAACTGAGCCAA